ATTATTTAAGTTTATACTTTCATTATAAGAACAGTACTAAGTACAGAGTTAATAATTTTCTTTTTTCTCATATATGATGTATGAGACTATGAGTTTATCTTTTGAATTGGGGTTCATCTATGATAACTATGATGTTCATCGTTAAATCGCTGTTACCAATATATTTATCAAAATTAAATTTTTATTTTTATTTTTAATATTAATTTTATTTTAATATTAAATTTAATTTAAATTTACATTGTGCCACTTATAATAACCTGCTAAATTTTTTTTTAATTATTCTATAATATAAACACAATTATTTTAATTAGATTATTATTAATTTTTGTGCATAACAGGGGTGTATTTAAGAGAGATTGGCCCTTCCTTGAACAAGCGCTATCAATATTATTTTAGGCAACTTCTAATATATAAGGACCTAATGTCCTTTTTTTCATCATTACTTTAATTTTAGCAAAAAAATTTCTATAACATGTTTAACAAAGTAAAAAATATTAAATTTCCTTCTAAAATAATTTTTGAATAGGCCTAAAAGGAATACCTCATTAAGAGGCTTCAACCTTATACCCAATACATTTTACTATATTTCTTTTTGAATTTTCCTGATTTTAATAATAACATTTTTAGATATAGTTTTCTATAGTTTTCACTGATTCTGAAGTAATATTTCTTCTGAAAAACACTTATCGTGCCCGGCGTAGCCGGGTACTTCTACCGGAATCAGTGGCCTACTTATGATGATGGCCCGAAGAGACTAACGCGCCGAAGGCGCGTAAGGCTCGAAGGGCCCCGGGTCTGGGGCGGAGCCCCAGCTAGGCGGAGCCTAGTACTATTATATTACGAATAATTTCTAAATCTTTTAATTACATAACCTATTCCATTCAACAGTAAGATTTGTTGGTTTAAGACCGTGAGAAATAGAGGAATATTATGATGCTGGCGAAAACTTTTAAGAGCCAAAAGAATGAAACGTAATAGCGCACTATTCATGTACAGTGAATTAGCACGTCATCCAGTCGTGATTATCAGCTGTTCACCGTCGCACTCATTACTGTTGACAATAACACAAGTTTGTCTTATCCGGCGGTCGGTAGATAGGACAGGTCAGGGGGTGCAGCACTGCGAGAAACGTTGGCAACTATGTAAACTAGTTCATCTGTGACTTACATCCGCCGTACGTGTCGTCAAGATATACCCGCGCCATATATTGTACACCTGTACTATTTACATCTTTCAGTATTAATGTTATTATTGTTAACTGACCCAAAGTTATACCAAATTTCAATCACGGTGTTAAGCCCCCCATACACGGTCAATTTTGAACGACAATAAACGTGATTGACAGTCAAGTGTGATCATTGACTGACGATTGATGACAACCATATACGGTCAATCAAAACTGACAATCTTTAGTCATTCAGTTATTTTATTTTAAAGTCAACAAAATTGTCACTATTAAAAGTGTGGTGTATCGTGTTGTTATAATTAAATTTTTCTTAAATAATTAATAAATTTAAAAAAACCCACTGCATTTAACTTTTTTTTTAATTATTAATTTCAATGGGGTACAGAAAATGAAAATTAAATATGTTTTTTTTATCGATATTTTTTTTTTTTTTGTAGAAAAAAAGTCTTCACAAATATGAAATATATAAGTTTAGATTTCAAGAAATTACTGTTAAAATATATTTATAAATGTAAATTTTAAATATTTGCAAATAATTAATTTTGTAAAAAAATATTTTACTAAGCAAAAAACTCATAAATTTTAACTAAACAAACAGAACTAAATTATTATTCATATTTTTTGTGTTACATAATGATATCATCTATTTATTTTAATCAAAATACAATTTCATGCGTAGTTTTTAAAATAATGATAAATTTAAGTATTTAAGTAGAGTTATTAGTTATTTAATACATTTATGCAGCAATTGTCAGTGATAATTAATAAGGTAATTATATTATATTAAGTATATTATTTTTTTTTGTAAGATTCAAAAATATTATTTTGCTCAGAAACAGATTTTTTTATATTTTAACTCGATTTTAATTAAACGAATTTTATAAGATTTTATTTTTACAGTTTCAAACAAAAAATATTTGAGTTTTTCAAACAACTAAATATTTTAATGCTAAATAAATTACTATCTGTATTATTTAATTCCAGAAAAACAATTGGTACTATTAAAAAAACCCAAAACAGGGGGTCACGACACAGTGGTGACGTGGCATAGTCACGTCACCACGTATTGATTCACATAGTGAATCAAGTATAATGATATCTGACAGTGATTAAAAAAAATTATAAAAAAAAACAATTCGATGCAAATCTTTAGATAGTGTTTTATTTAAAAAAAAATGGTGGATATTACAAAAGCTACAAGATCTGCTATTTCCTTATTTATATTCTGATTAAGATAAAGTATGTTGAATGAAAAAAGGATATAAATATTATTTCTCATAAAAAAATTGAAATTTTTTCTTCACTTTTTTTCAATAAGTTAATGCAATATAAAGTTAAAAATGTAAAATACAAAATCAAGAATTTTCACACAAAAATAGCATTTGGTAGCCATTTTCACTGTGAAGACAAAATAATGTTCAAATTTTTTTTTTCCATAATAAAGTATATTACATTAGCAAAAGTTAAGTTGAAAAAGTTAATTTTTTGTGAAAAATTTGTCATTTTAGATCCCCTCTGTGGGCAGGCAAAGGGTCAGATTTATAAAAAAAGTATATTAAATGACAGGTTTAGACATTATGCATCGCATCTATCAAAAAAAAACATTTTTAAGAAAGTTCTGGCAGTTTTACATCATTTTACATCATAGTAAATCCAATATATTCTCAGCTTCGCATCGAAGCAAAAATGTATGTTTTAAAATAAATTTAAAATTATAAGTCATTTATAGAAAAACAAAAATTATAATTTATTTAACAAAAAAAAAGACAATATACTCATCAAATCTATGATTTTAGCTTCAATGCGAAGCTGAGAAGGTATTTATTTTATTATGATGTGATATTTTTTTTTTGTGTCTGTTACCACTTTTTCTCAGCTCTCACAGAACCGATTTTTTTCAACGATACATCAAAAGTACACAAATCGTATCTAATCAAATCCATTACCTTCGAAAAAATGAAAAACTTTCCCTCGTTCACCATAAATGGGGGAAATCTCCAAAAAAATTATAAATTTAAAAATCGCTAATTTTTAACATTTTTTAATTTTATTTACTTAAAACTGCCATAACTCTATTAAAAATAACAAAATTAAAACAATTTTTTATTTCTGTAGTTTCATGATGTCTATACCGATCATTTGGTTAATATTTTTTTTATAAATCTGACCCTTTATCTACCCACATGGTGACTCAATATGACAACCTTTTCACAAAAAATTACCTTTTTCAACTTAACTTTTGAAAGTGTTACGGAAAGTCTGACACTTTTATACTTTATCATAATCAGGATATAAATAAGGAAATAGCAGATCATGTATCTTTTGGAATAATTCACCTAATTTTTTTAATTAAATACTATTAAAAGATATGCATGGAAGCGTTTTTTATGATAGTGATTTTAATCACTGTCTGATATAATTATACTTGATCCAATTATGCCACATCACCACAGAGCCACGACCCCCCTGTGCTGGGTTTTTTAAATCATGTTTTTCAACATTTCTTTTAACTTATTACATACGATCATTGGCGTAATTTGGGTTTTGTTTTTAGGGGAAAAATACATAAATAATTTTTCACTTTCCTTCGTATGAAAACAAATTGTATAATTTACCATACTATTATTTTATTGGAATAGATATGAAAACTATATCCCCCCTACCTTAAGTATGTCAGTGCAAAAGGTTGTTTTATAATTTCATCGTCTAAATATTTTTACTAAATAAATTTTATATTTTTAATTTTAAAAATAAATTTATACTTTTAATGAAATACTCAGAATCTTGTAAAATGTAATGTTATAATTTTTCTATCTAAGAAGTTAATACAGTAGAACTCCAATTATCCGAACTCCGACCATCCGAATCGCCGATTATCCGAATCACTTTCAGAAAAAATCAGAAAAAAATTTGTCCAAAGTCCGCGGCGTCAGTGTAGGCACAACACGTGGTAAGAGTTCCCACTCCAGTTCCGGCGCATTGCAGTCACCTGTCATTGTTTGTTTTGATTAGTCAGTGAATGGGTCCCGGTCCCCATTAATTCGGATAATTGGAGTTCTACTGTAGTATCATCCAAAATAGCATTTTTTTAAAATTACTATTTTGAACATGATTTATAATTAAAAAAAAAAAAATTAGTTCTCTTTCCTCTCTTCACCCTTTAAAAAAATAACAACTTCAGTTTTTCAAGTATAAACATATATATTTAAATAGTTTAAAAATAAAAAAATTACTGGTCAATAACAACTTTTAAACCAGTATTTTAACAAATATTAGCCTTTTGAACAAGGGTAGAAGGAGTAGTGTGTTTATATACAGAATGTTGACTTAATCAATGTCACAGGTAGTATAATGATATTAAGTAGGGCCTAAAAATAGCGAAATCAAAAACTAAAATTTTCATATCTCCAAAATTGTGGGTTTTTCGATTCCCTAACTTTAATTTTTATTTAAAAATTTATATACAAATTCAGTGGTCCTCCCCCAAATTTGGAAAAAAATTTCACTTGAGTGTGACCCATCAATTTGTATTGAAATTTCAATGGGAGTCCCATGATGTATTTTATTTTTAGTTTAAATGGTTACATAATGAAAAAAACAGGAAAAAACCTCGGATAATTACAGTAGAACTCCAATTATCCGAATTAATGGGGACCGGGACCCATTCACTGACTAATCAAAACAAACAATGACAGGTGACTGCAATGCGCCGGAACTGGAGTGGGAACTCTTACCACGTGTTGTGCCTACACTGACGCCGCGGACTTTGGACAAATTTTTTTCTGATTTTTTCTGAAAGTGATTCGGATAATCGGCGATTCGGATGGTCGGAGTTCGGATAATTGGAGTTCTACTGTACATATTTTTTTATTATTATTAATTACTTTTTACATCATTATCTTGGAATAGACGTATAACACAGTGTATCCAAGCATTTCAATAAGCGAGTTATTATTCAAGGCTCAGATAAACTGCGATAGATTACTGTGTGTCAGGATCAGCACGACGGTGTCATGTAACGGACAGCCTGACACTAAATAACGACGATCTCATTGAGGCACTTGGTTTTAAAACAAAATTACTCCTGAATTTCTGGTTCTATTTTTAATGTCTTCTAGGTTTACTCGTCGTGTAACTTGTTTTAATTTGTAAAAAAGACAACATTTACCTTATGAATTCCTGGTACCATTTTCTTATTTTATGGATGACACCACATGACGAGAGTTCATTACATTGTCCATTATATTGCCTACACAGAATTCCTTACTTTATTTAGTTTATTCAAAAAACTAATCAATCCGTTATCGATTATTTCTTTATATAATTTATTACATTTATTAATTTTCACTTTTGAATATATTAAAGAAAGGGTGATATTAGTACACATAAAATGAAATTCATATGTATAAAATTACTATAATGATAACATTCCGACATATTTAACAACGTTAAGTTGCAATATATATATACTAACAAGTAAATTGTAATATGCTTTAATTTGATATAAATTTAAATTAAGATTATCAAAATTTGAAAAAAAAAAAATTTGATATCACCATATCATTTTCAGTGGTCTTCAGTAAATATTTCAACGAGAAGTCTAAGTTTTTATTATCCTTATGATCTATTCTTACTAGCATTAATGTCATATTGAGTTTATAGTAGAAAAATGGTGGGGGTGTTACAAACCTGTCAGCTATCCCTGTGTGTGTCACTAATCATATCATATAACTAATTAAAAATTTGTGTTTTTTTTTTTTAGAGACAATTTTGTGATAAACATTACACAATATTAAAATAATATCAATTAAAATTATCTGTCATAAATAAGGTATTTTTAACTTAAACTTTAATTCACAGTACATTTTTCAAATTAATATTTAAAAGCAAAAATTTACGATTTTTTTTTTCAGCTTATAATTATAAGTTAAAATGAAGTTATTTATTTTATTCGCGTTTTATTTAATGGCAAGTATTTTAAAAATCTTTGTACAAGCTTTATATACTACTAAAATAAGAATATAATTTTGTTTAATACAAATGGTTTGAAAAAATAAATATGAAGTTCTTACTAAATTTTTAGTTGAGCCTAAACTGATTTAGACTATAATATATGTAAAAATTAACTTATATTTCTATATTATTCATAGTTTAAGCAAAGTTTTTTAACAAAGGTATAAATGGATAGTAAACATAAAAACCCAGCACAAAGGGGTCGTGGCACTGTGCTAATGTGGCATAATTAGGTCAAATATAATGATATCTGACAGTGATTAAAATCACTATCATAAAAAACGCTTCGATGCAAATCTATAGATAGTGTTTAATTTAAAAAATAAATAAATCTTTATTTTAAATAACATATTTTAAAATGAATATATCGTAATATAATTAAACAAAATTATTACAATTCAATCAAATTGTTAAACAAATTAATATGAACTACAAAAAATTCTTAGTAGGTGCCAGAATAATGGGGACAAAACTACATTATCACTTTCTCGTGCTTATAATTTTACGGAAAATCAAAATTACTTATATTTAATAAGTAATAGTTTATAAATTAGTTAAATTAAGTAAATATATGTGTAATTGTGTATAACGAAATTTAAATCCATCAATTTGCATCCAATAATTTTCGAAGGGGTTATAAAACTTGTTAGTCTTGACAATATTTTACAAAAATTAATTCAAAGGCCAGATACAAATGTAATTAGTATTACCCATTAAGTGGCAAACACCCTCTCTCTCCTAATTTAGTAAAACTTCTTTTATTTATATATTTTATTTACTAATAAATAAAATTTATATTAAATAATGGATAACATATTTTATAAATATATCTCTTTACATTCATGTCAATACAGTGAATTATTAATAGAAAAGCTATATTTACCGCACTCTAAAAATATTATAATATAAAAGTATATACAATTTTTATATTTTCCATGGTACTAATTTAGAATTCGGAGGTACTGTAGTCCCTTGTTGTTGCATCACTATTATATCACCAACATTCAGGGACATACATTTTGTATGGTGGGGGTACAGATAGATTGTAGAATCTAGAGTAGTGGGTAGATTCAACCTTTCACTATACCCAATACTTTGATTTAATATCTTAGGAGAGGGGTTGAAACACCATGGACACCCTGCCGTAAATATACCACTGTCAACATTGACATATTATTTTATCAATTTGTTTATATGACAACATATTCATTTAACTAGATTATTTAATAGAAAATAATCTAATTGAAATTAAGAATGATCGAAGATAACTTTTGAACCAACATTTAAAATAACTATTAGAATATAATTAAAATTGATCACTTGGGGCTAATATTATTTAAAATTAAAAATAATAATTTAAAACTAAAAAAAATTAAAAATATTCAATTCAAAAAGCCACAAAAAAAATAGTCTATCAAAAATGACATACTATTGATTGAAAAGGTTCCCTATATAGAAATTAAAAACAGTCCATGTCGTTATAAATATTTATTTATTTTTTATGTAGTTTTATATTTGGTTCCCTTAGTATTTAAAAAAACCAATTGTTATATTTATCGGAATACTAGGAGATAAAGCTAACTTGTCAAATAAAATTAACCTATCATTATTTTGAAAAGTATAACCAAATAATTTTTGTATTTAATCCATTATCATCTTTTTTAATGTATTCTTTTTACCTACTTTATAGGGACCCCCTTGAATCATTTTTGATACACTATTAATTTAATCTTTTTTCAGTATTACTATGGCATTCCCCTTATCTGAATGTAAATAAAAACCGTTTTTATTTTTTAAGTGATGTATGAACCACAGCTGGAAACACAAAATGGCAGCTTTAATAGTATGGTTTACAGATTAGTTAAAATTCCAATGAATAAAATAGATTTTGATAAAGATCTGGAGGTTAAAAGAGAAATAGCCAGATTTAATTATCATAACGAAAACGTAATTTCAAAATTATTTACATAGGACAAACAAAAAACGCGTAAACGTTAAAGAAATATTAAAAATCAAGAAGTTGATATATCGGCACTAGGGGTATATAAGGGGTTATTTTTTCGGTCGGGGTATCAGTATGTGTTTAGTGTTGATAATGGTAACATTGTTTCAAATATAGGTAACCTCGATTTTTATTTTTTAGTAATTGTTTTTGTGGCTTTTTTAATTAAATATTTTTAATACTTTTTAGTTTTAAATTAATATTTTTAATTTTAAATAACTATTCGATTTTTAAAATATAGTGCGGGTTATAACTTTTTTTATCATTAGGCATTTATTGGACATGGTCCTTCGCTTCCCAAGTATAAAAATAACCTTAAAAAGATTATTTTTAAAATTTTTGAATTTGCATTTTCTAGCATGTTAGTTATAGTTTACATTTAAGTATAGTTAGATATGTATGTTCTTTTTTTCTGTTTTTATTAGTATTGTATACAATGAATTAAATTTAATATGCATACATGAATGTATATATATATATATATATATATATATGTATAAAATAAATTAAAATAGATATATGTTTTCGTATAATAGATTATAGAAACCTCTCAGATGGATTGCTATTGCGTGAGTAACATATGTTTCTATTAAAAAAAAATTAAGTGAATATCAAGCCTAAGAACAGAAATAATTTTATGGGTCGCCGTAGGATTTCGGTTTTCACTTTTTTTAAATTATCGGTTTCAGTGAGGTTTTGGTCTACCAATTTTTTGATATTGTGGTTCAGGTTTTCGTTAATAACAATTTCATTAGTGCTACTACAGAAATACATTTTTAATTACTACTTAAAAAATAATTTTAAACAATCAATTAATACCTTATCATTTTTTCAATTATACTTTTTCTAGCAAAATATTAATATAAAATACAAATTTATGTTATGATTCATAAGTTTAATAAATTAATAAGGAAATTGAAAATATTGTTTGATTCAAAACACTACAATGATATTTAGATAATTTTTTTTTTATACTTTCAGAAAAAAAATAAAAATTTAATTTTCTTTAATGGCAACCGCTATTCTATGATTAATATAATAGAAAACACTTTTTAATAATTTTGTTCTTCTGTTATTTCTTGTTAAAGTTAAAATATTTTTAACCAATTTTCTATTGATAATTTGCTGTTTAGCCTACAGTTGTAGTCATTTATCACAGATACAATTCGGTATTTTTAATATACAAAAATTATATATTTTATCATTGTTTCGGCGTGATCTCTTACGACTAAAAGATCTTCGATAAATTAAAATGAAACGTAAAAGAATGAAAAAATAAATATGCGTTTATTATATGTACGCGAGCGATGCGCTTTACAAAGGTAGACTAACTGATTTTAAAACCGGACAACTATGCAGCCGCCGAACAACGATAAGATAAAACAAAAATAGCAACACTTATTGTGTAGGCCTAAACACACCGCCCGCCTTGAAATATTTGTTTCAAAGTAAAAGATAACAAAAAACAACTATAATCTAAGAACAAATTTCGCAACAACTAAAAACGTAAAAAGTAATACATAAATACAAAAAAATTAATATACAAATAATCATTAGAAACAAATTCATTATGGAAAAATTAATGATAAATCCCACACAGGATATGACAATAACTACGAATTATAAGGAATTTAAATAAATTACAAACTGGCTACAAACTGTTGCCTTCAAAAGGTAACGGACATAATAACCTGACCGCTCGTGAAAACTCGCCGACGTTAGTACGGACCTTTGCTGATCGTGCCACGTTGTCATCGTCACAGTATAATTCCATTACACGCCCAGCTTGCCATTTGAGTGGTGGTAAATTTGTCTCTTTTACCAACACAATAGTTCCAATTTGTAACTTAGGCCCTTTCGTGCTGGACCATTTGGTTCTTTCCTGTAGTTGAGATAAGTACTCTTGGTGCCACCGTTTCCAAAGTACTTGGGTGTAATGAGAGACTATTCTCCACCTATTTAAGTGAGTAATAGGCGTGGTCGTCTCGTCCTTTTCCGGTATGGCAGTCATTATATCGCCAATTAAAAAATGACCTGGTGTGAGATAGGTTAGATCAGCCGGATCAGAGGATACTGGAGTTATTGGTCGCGAGTTAAGTACCGCTTCCACTCTCGTTAGTACAGTTAATAATTCTTCGTACGTGAGCCGAGCTTCTCCTAAAACGCGATATAGCAAACTTTTCATACTTTTGACCGCAGCCTCCCAAAGTCCACCGAAATGTGGCGCACGGGGTGGTATAAATCGCCACTCAATTCCTTTGTCCGCTAGATGAGAGAAAACGGATCGCTGATGTTCTGGAGACTGGAAAAGTGCGTACACCTCCTTTAAATGCCGACGCATGCCCACAAAATTTCGGGCGTTATCACTGTAAATTATTGAACTTTTGCCACGTCGATCAAAAAATCTGTTCAACGCCTGTAAAAATGTCTTCGTTGACAAATCGCTCACGAGTTCGATATGTATCGCCTTTGTCGCGAAACATACAAATATGCTGATGTATCCTTTGTTACATGGTGCCTTACGACGCAAGCTCGTTCTTATCATGACTGGACCCGCAAAATCTACACCACATATGGCAAATGCTCTTCCACTCTGTACCCGTGAACCAGGCAGACTCCCCATGATCGGTTGTACTATTTGAGGTTTCAGTTTAAAACAATTAACGCAATTGTGTACTATAGTACGAGCCAAACTTCGCGCTTTTAAAGGCCAGTAGCGCTGTCTAATAGAGGCCACCAAGGCTTGAGGTCCACTGTGCATCAAATCCATGTGTTCTTTACGGAATAATAATTTTGTGTAAAGACAGTTATCCGGCAATACAATTTGATGTCTCTGATTGTCATTTAACGCCATAGCGTATTTTAAACGACCTCCGACGCGTATAATATTATCCCCATCAATATATGGACTAAGACGCAGTAGTTTACTTTTTTTTGACACATTCGCATTTGCACTATTTAACTCTCTCAATTCTTGCCGAAAATGTGCGCGTTGAATTATTTTGACGATTTTCGTATTTGCTCTATCTAATTCGTTTACCGTTAACGGCCCATTATTTTTATCACATACTGCTCGATTCATGTTATACCGCCAGCGTAGGCAATACGCCGTCACTCTGATGATAAATAATAACGACGACCTTCTAGATAACAACGAATAACATTTATCGTACGCTACGCATGCAACAGTCGTAATTGTTGTTTCGTCCGTATTTTTGGCTTCTGGTATATTGTTTGTACTACTGTATTGTACACATGACTTCGGCCATTTCTCGTACTCCTCCTTCAACCAATGGGGACCGTTCCACCACATCGCATTAATTCGCAATTCGTTTGGAGTACAGCCACGTGATATTAAATCAGCAGGATTGTCCTCCGAGCGGACATGACGCCAATCATTTATGGACGTTTTGTCTTGTATTTCACCAACACGATGCGCCACGAACGTTTTCCATTTAGCAGATGGAGATGAAATCCAAGCTAGGGTTACGCTCGAATCGGTCCAATAAAATTGTCGCTCGAATTTGCATTTCAACTTCGGCACTATTCCGTTTACCATTCGTGCTAATAATAGGGCTGCGCACAATTCTAGTCGAGGCAGCGATATCGTTTTTATGGGCGCGACCTTGGACTTCGCTTGTAGCAAACGCACCGTGTGCTGGCCGTTTTCGTCAGTACTTCTAATGTAAACACATGCACCATACGCTCTGATAGATGAATCGGCAAAACCGTGTAACTGTAATGTAACGATTTTATTTTCACATAATATATATCTTGGAATACTGAACTTATTTAATGTTGTTAATTGTGCACTATAATTACGCCATTCTACAGCGACTTCCTCCGAAACGGGTTCGTCCCAACTGAGTTGAATGCACCACAAACGTTGCATGATAATTTTTGCGACAACTAACACAGGTCCGAGCAAACCAAGGGGATCAAAAATTGTGGCTATATTCGATAAAATTGTTCGCTTTGTTATATTGTTATTATTTATTATGTTTTCACTTAATGTATATTTAAATGAATCCGATGGCGGATCCCAACACAGGCCTAATATTTTCGTCGTGTCGTTATCGATAATACGCGGACCGTCACTATCTTTATTGTGTTCGGCGGGTAATAAACTATTTATTAAACTATTATCGTTTGATGCCCATTTCCGTAAATGTAGACCGGCACCTTTCATTATGGTAATAATATTGTATCGTAATGTTATTGCCTCTGCCCGTTTCATTGCACCGCCTAACCAATCATCCACATAAAAATCGTTAACTAATGATTGACACGCGTCAGGATACCTACTGAATTCACATTCAGCTAACTTTTCTAGGCAAGCTGTTGACAAATAACTTGCGCTTATTGTACCGTACGTTACAGTTCGTAGGCGGTAGATTTTCAATGGCCCGTTTGGATTATCACGCCAGACAATTCTCTGATAATCCCGATGACTCTCGCCTACCATTATTTGTCGGTACATTATTTCGATATCTGCTGTTAGTACATATTTACACGTGCGAAATCGAGCTAGGATGTATAGCAGATCGTCCTGTATAACAGGTCCTTTTAATAATACGTCATTCAGACTAAGACCCGAGTCGGTTTTACATGACGCATCAAAAACGACTCGAAGCTTCGTAGTTGTGCTATTATTATTTATAACGGCATGATGAGGTAAATAATAACAATGAGTCTCCTTTTCTTTTGACTCCTCACCCGTCACAAGTTCCATGTGTCCTAGCTTTTCGTACTCGTTCATAAATTTTAAATACTCTGCTCGTGTATCGACATTTGCTTGCAGACGACGCTCCAACGATAAAAATCGCCTTTTTGCCGTTTCATAGGATTTACCCAATTGGCTTGCGTTACTTTTGAATGGCAATTGTACCACGAATCTTCCATGTTCATTTCGCTGAACTGTTTGATCAAAATATTTCTTGCACACCTTTTCTTCTAACGTCCATGCATTTTTTTCTGTGTACTCGTCCAAGCGCCAAAATTTGGCCAATATATTTTCTAGTGATTGGTTAGAATTGTCATTCACAGTGAGGAAAACTGCCGTTTTTTGACTTATACTATTGAGCTGATTTTCCGATGAACCAGCAACCACCCATCCGAACTTTGTTTCCTGAAATACAGGACCGCCTGGTCGTGGCTTTATTTTACCTGCAGACATTAAATCATAGAAATGACCCGCTCCTATTAATAGGTCAATCTTCTATGGCACGGTGAAACGCGGATCCGCTAAGACTATAGCTTTCGGAACCACGCAGCTATCATTTAGTCGGATGTCTGGTAGGTTACTCGTAATGTTCTTAACTACTAAACATGACAATGTTACTGAATAGTCATTTAAACGGGAGTTGGCTGTAAACATTACGCGCGATTTAATTCTTTGTACGTTCCCACCAATTCCTTGGACGCTTTGGTCGACATGGGTTTTAGGTAACCGCAAAATCTGCGCCATGCGTTCGGTTATAAAATTACTTTGTGATGCAGAATCTAGTAACACGCGACACTGCTCCCATTCACCACGATTACTCTTAACCAAAACAACTGCGGTTGGTAATAATATCGACGTAGCGGCCGGTAAGCTAGTATGTGCACTAACGGTTACTAATTCATTTTGAACTACTTGTTCTGACTCGCTATTTTCCGAATTTTCCGTTACGTTTGTTGCTGAGTTGAACTCTGACTGATCGGTCCGTGCACTTAAGTGTAAAAGTGTATTATGTGGCTTGCCACACTTAAAACAGCCTCGAGCCAAACATTTTTTCTTAGGGTGTGCCTGTAGACAATTCCTGCATAAATTGCGCTCACTAATGCGCTTAATGCGTCCAACTACGGACAAGGCCAAAAGACTAGGACATCGATACACCGAGTGATTTGAGTGACAATTAAAGCATTTTTTGTCCGAATTTGTCACCGCATAAGCATTGCTCCGTACCATAGATTTTCTGACATCTTGACTATGGGTAGCCGGTGCTGTTGCGTTTCTCTGATTTATGGCTTTAGATGATTCGATCGCTTCTAAAATTTTAAACCGTTTTTCTAAAAAGTCCACCAATTCGATAATTGTAGGAAGAGAGTCCTGAGCCGATTCCGTTTCCCACGCTCGAAGACAACTTCTATCTAACTTGGTGGTTACTAAATACGTTAACATAGGACTCCACAACTCTGGCTCTTGATTAAGGGTTTTTAATGCTTGCATATGTCCTTTTATTGAATCTGTAAATGCTCGAAGTTTAATTGCTGATTCTACAGTTAGCGTCTCTAAGTGAAATAACGCTTTCACATGGGCTTGTATTAGACTTTTTTTATTGTTGTATCTTTCAATTAATGTCCGCCATGCCACTGCGTAATTTGACGCCGTGATTTCCAAACAATTAACAGCCTGTTTGGCATCGTCTTTTAAAGCCGCTTTCAAATAGAAAAATTTTTGTATGTCTGACAATTGGTCGTTGGTATGAATTAATGCCGAAAAAATATCATAAAATGTTGACCATTGCTTATAGTCGCCATGAAATGATGGGATATCTAGCGGGGCTAATCTAATAGCTGGCGCCGCTACTGTTGGTGTCGCTACGATTGAAGCTGTTGCTGCCGTATTCCCTACACCAACGTCTGACGCGTTGCTGACTACCCTACTCAATTCAGATAGCCTTTTCTCCACAATCGTACTGGCTTTAAAGTATAAGTCTTCAAAATCAGCTCTATAATTTTGCTGTTCCTCTACGTTTATCCCTTCTATCATGTCGATTTCCAACTGTACTTGGTCGTACTCACTCCATGCTTCCTCAATTTTTTCTCTTCTAAGCCGAATTTCGATTAGGTCCGACTTTTCGTCTTGCACAAACTTTAAAAATTTTGTCAATGCTGATTTTAATTGACCTCTCCTTATGCTTAATCGCGTAACTTCATTTTTGCGATTATCTTCAGGCATAATTTGTTTTGTTAGTTTTTACCGATAATAAATAATTGTTCCAAAAGAAACCAAATGCCTCAGCTGACCGTTACTAATATATGTATATATATATGTACGCTCTATTAACTGTCAGAGAGCGTTCGTGGTAATTTGAGCAAAGTACAACTATAACGATAGTACCACAATAACCGCTGTACGCCGACACTATAAATATTGCGCACGGGTTTTTTACACTTAACTATATTTGTTTCACAATACTTATGACGATATCTAATGCACTTATACGAACTTTAAATTAAAATACGTTAATAATATATAATAATATTATTTTATTCCGCGTATAGCAATCGCTGCTGCTACGCACTACGTTGGGCAGAAATTAACCCTTTTCTAACTCGATGCGTTAGAATTATTTACGAACACGCACATACAACGCTTAATTCACGTACCCTAATAACGCACTTTCGTTACGCAAATTTTCGCACTTTCACGTTTCCGATATTCACTAGACGTTCCGGGCGAAGGACCATATGTTTCGGCGTGATCTCTTACGACTAAAAGATCTTCGATAAATTAAAATGAAACGTAAAAGAATGAAAAAATAAATATGCGTTTATTATATGTACGCGAGCGGTGCGCTTTACAAAGGTAGACTAACTGATTTTAAAACCGGACAACTATGCAGCCGCCGAACAACGATAAGATAAAACAAAAATAGCAACACTTATTGTGTAGGCCTAAACAATCATTATTCATGTCAATTATAAACGCATACTATTATATTCTATGTAAGTTTACTGTCATAGATGTCGAACGACCTGCGTAGAAATTTTATTTTTTATAACTACCATAAAAATAAATTATGGCACATTGAAACAGGCTATTATTGATTCCGATGTTATGAAAACCAAATTAATGATGAATTTGTAGTTTAAACCCAAATTTTTAAATAATTTTAAATCGCAAATTAGGGTTTGAACTATGTCAATTAACTGGTGAAAATTTGGTCAATAATGAGTTATCATTTTTTGTTTGCTACTAATTTCTTAATAAAACAAAAAAAGCTTACAGTTATATTAATACTAACTCTTAAGTTTGTTGAATAAAAAGTTGAATGCATTAATAAACTTTTTATTTTAACAGGCGAATCAAAAAATCATTAAATATAATGAATTGGTAGAAGATTTGATCATTTGTCTTGAAAAATTACCAAAGACTAATAGTTAGTGAAATTTTATATTTGTATTTGCGATATTATAAAATAAGGCAATTAATAAAATGGTACAAAACTATATCTATTATGACAATTTTGTGTGATATTAAAATTGAGTGACTTTATCATAAAATTAATTTTACAATTATTAAAAATAACCCCGGCCAACAAAAAAAAAATTTTTCATTTGCAGGTATGTGAGAGGATATTTCTATGTATTTTGAGGTTTCTGATTCCGTAAATGATCTTAGAATTATCCTATTAGCTTTTTGTAAATAATGCATATATATTTTTTTAAGTGTGCAAGTTTTTAAAGTTAGCAAACCATCATAATAATTGTTTCAAATCGAACAATAATATACTTGGGTATAACAGATCTAACTGACAATTCGTATAACTTATGATCTACATAATATTTTATACTTCTTTTTTTAAATCAATTTTATAATATAGAACTATATTTAAAATATGTTTTATGTTATTTTTCTCAATTACAAATTAATATTTTAAAAATTAATTTATTTATTAATATTTTTTTTAAGTTTTGAAGATTTTATAGATAAGTTTTAAAGAAAAAAATTGACATCAAAAATTCTTATTTTAAGTCAGTAGTTACGTTTATACAGCATTTTTAAGTTTGTTAAATTTTGATTTTTTTTACAATTTTCCTATGGTATCAAATGTTAGTCCATATTATGTAAAGTACGGAATTACGTTATTACGTTAACACTTATTACATTATTAAGTAGTAGTATAATTGAAATTATAAAAAAAAACTCAATATATTGAGTTTTTAATTAAATAAGTTCATATATCATAAATTTAAACGTAAATAATAGTGAATAAGTGCATTTATTATGAAATATCCTAACAAGAAATATTCTATAATAATATGATTACAATGATTACAATGATAGAACCACGCAAATTAATAATTGTTATCACTTTTAACTAGGCTCACCATGGAACACTCGTAGTTGGTATGAGATAATGTTTCTAACTTTTGATATAAAGATTAAAGATAATCATTTCTGCAAAAAGCGCGTTAAACGTTATTATTATCCATCGAAAAGAAATCGTGTACTGTTACAAATGAATAAGATAATATAACAGTGTTTACTTTAGTAGTTTACATAATATGGACTAACATTTGATGCCATAAAAAAATCAAAATTTAACAATTTTCAAAATGCTGTATAAACGTAACTACTGAATTAAAATAAGAGTTTTTGGTATCAACATTTTCCCTTAAAACTTATCTATATAATGGCTATCCTTAAATCTTAAAAAAAATTTTAATAAAATAATTGATTTTTAAAATATTTTTTGTAATTTTGAAGAATAACATAAAAATATTTTTATTATAGTTTTATTATGTAAAAATTGATTAAAAAGTAAAAAAAAAGTATAAAATGTTATGTAAATCATATGAGTTATATAAGTTATATGAGTTGTTAATTAGATCTGTTCCATTCTGTATAGTATAATAACTACAGATAAACGAATATATTACAATATTAAAATGTCTAATTCTTCAACCTAAATTAATTTTACATTGAAGTAAGAATAATAAAACTCTATGAATTTTCGTTAATAGTTCATAAAATATATTATAGAACTGTGTTTTGTTATGTCAGTTTACTTCTATAAAAATTTGGTACGGCTTGATTGATACGTAAATTTAATATTAATTTAAGTTGAAGAAGTTTTAGTATTGCATTATATTACATATGCTCGATTTTAATGAGTTATATAAAATGTAGGTAACTTTAAAAACTTGCACACATTCAAAAATAAAAGAAATGCATTATCTAAAAAACAAGATCTGATAGAGTAATTCCGAAATCATTGACGTAATTAGCAATCCCGAAATACTTAGAAATGACACTCCTGCAACTGATAACTTTTTTTAATTAGTGTACTTTAGCGATAATTTAAACTGCTATAATAATATTATTTTATTCAATAGACACATATGCTAACATTGATCAACTAAAGGGACATGTAAATGATTATACGATGAAGTATAAAATTGTAAAAAATAATACAGAAAAAATAAAGGAATTAGATAATGAATTGGCTGGAAGTATTTGTTGCTCAAATCAAATCGACCAAAATTTGATGAATAGTATATTAAAATGCATAGAAACATTTCGTGAAAACTTGTAACAATATAGTAAAATAACTCTCTTATAGAATTGTGTAATGCAACCGCGATGTCTGTTATAATAGGAACCAAAAAGATTTAAAATATTAATCATATAAATACTAATTATAGTTATTAAATTTAGTATGAAATTGATATTCAATAATTTAATATTATAATTTATACGGAGAAATTATAAAAATAATAAAAAAGTTATATTTTGCTTTACTTTTATGTGTATAAAAATTTAAAGGGCTTAATACAATATTTCTCAATAAAAACTGTTTGTTACTATAAATAAATGCACTGGACTACAAGGAACTTTCATCAGAAGCAAAATTATACTTTTCTAAGTCAATTTTTCGCGTTGTTTTCAAATCTGCAATTAGACTTTTACTATCACTTCTAATCTTTTATATTATTACTAATTACATATAAAAAAATAATTAAAAGGAAAAAAAATTTGTTTTCAAATTATTACGGATTTGATTTTTATATGTTAAAAATAATCAGTCCAAATTTTCAATTTTAACCTATTTTTTTGGTTCTTTAAAGTTGATGAAAAATTGTTGATAAAGTTTTGTGAATATTTACATTAAAAAAATTGAATATTTTGCCATAACTTTTAGTTCAATTACAAGTTTGAAATTGACATCATTAAATAGAAAATTTTATGAGAATTAAAACAATGCTATTTTTAAGATTAATATGCAGTCAGGAAATTTTATAATTACTATTTACAGTATATTTATCAGAAAAACTCATTATAATAATGAACACTTTAATAGAAATCATAGTAATCATTTCTAAGTAACTTTTTGTATTTAAAAAGATTCTACAAATGAAATATCCAGAACTGAATTAAATTTAATAATTTACTTTAACTAAAAAAAAAAAAGTTATCATATTGAATCCCTCTTATGTAAAGGGTTAGATTTATAAAAATAAACCAAATTATAGGAAAAGACATGCATCTAAATAAAAAAAAAATTATACTGATTTGGTCATTTTTGATAAAATTATAACAGTTAACAAAGTTATAAGTTTTATACACAGGACTATAAGAAACTTTCATCAGAAACAAAAGTATAATATTCTAAATCAACTTTTCGCGATGTTTTAAAATGTGCAATTAGACTTTTTTTATCACTTCTGAGTTTTATTATTATTAAAAAATAGTATTTACATATAAAAACAAATAATTAAGAACAAAAAAAAATTGTTTTAAATTAATACTAATTAATATGTTAAAAATAAGGAACATGACATATTTAACCTATTTTTTTAATCGTTTAAAGTTGATTTTTGTAACTATTTATAATAAAAAAAAAATTATTTATTTTACCATAACTTTTAGCTCAATTGGCAAGTTTGAGGTAAATAGAAATATTTATGATAATTAAAAAAATTGTATCGTTAAGATTAATATGCAGTCAGAAATTATTATAATTACTATTTATTGTAAATTTATCAGAAAAGCTCAATGTTTTTTGCAAACCTTTTAAAATACGTATAGAAAGTAGAACTCTTTCAACTTAACTTTTGAAAGTGTTCTGGAAAGACTGACTCTTATATATATATATATATATATATATATATATCTTAAATTAAAATTAATGTAATATACTTTATCATGGAAAAAAAAATTTGACCTCTGGACTTGTCATCGTGGAGAAAATGGCTACTGAATAATAATTATAATTAGATGTTAATAAAAATTATATTAAAAGTTATATTTTATATAACTAGTCAAATAGTCAAGTATATCAACCTATATAAATTGGTCGAGACCAAATATACTATAGTTTCAGTATCCGCAAATAATACATATGATTAGAAATACATATCCTATAACATAATATCTTAATGCTTTAATATATATTATATGAATAGAAAAAAAACACAAATGTGTATTTAAAGTTATACTTAATAATAATCAACTAATTATTATTCACCACAACAGGTATGCAAAAGAAAATTTTACAATCATTAAAATACAACTTTTTAATACCGTGTTATTTATGTTTTCTGTTAACGCAATAAACATTTTTTTTTCACCTTTCCCATAGCATGTAGATCACAGTAGTATATGAGTAAATTGGAAAATAATCGTTTTCATAGAATAAAGTGACGCATGAAATTTGAGTGGCATGATTTGAAGTGCCTAAAAAAAAAGCCTATCACTCAATCAAAAACCAACGGATTACAACTAAACTTTAAGAGTACCTCTGTAATGTCTTTGGTCAAACCTAGTAAAAATTTCAGATTTTAAATCGTAAAACAATAGCGGCAATAAGCGTTATTGCCAAAATTTTTAAACGCTCACGGAGTACTTAATTTATTTGTTTTCTCGAATAAATTTCTAGAATGTCCCCGTGCTTTTATAAAAAAAAATTTTTAAAACCTGTGATCTAAGTACATTTTCCAGCAAAGCCAAAATTTAAAGTTTTTTTATTATGTAATATATTTTAAGCAGTGTTGAGAAGGAACTGGTTCCAAAAGGAACGGATTCCTGGAACGAGTTCTTTTTGAAGGAACGATGCTAGGAACTGCTTCCTTTTAAAATAAAGGAACGAGGAAAATGAATAAATTCCATTTTTTAAGAAAAGTGAACGGAAATTACAGTTCCTAAAAATTTTTATAAACATGTTTTAGTTTAGTTTTCTANCTAAAAATTTTTATAAACATGTTTTAGTGTAGTTTTCTTCGTATCTAGACATTAAAATATTAAGGTATTTTTAGTTGACTTTTGACAATGGAAGTCCCCTATATACCCAGCCGAGATCGTAGGCTGTTTAAATGAATCAATTGACTATAAATAGAGTTATTATCACAGGTATACAGCAAATATTTAATATATGTATGTACATATATTAAATAATGCACCGAATATTATCGTCGTTCCTTGTTAACTAATATATGTTAAAGGTTTTGGGTTTTCTGATTTATTATTTCTAACTTATATGTAGACAATAGACATTGGTCGCGTTGACACAAGTCGTTAGCATTTACTACTTGCTTATAAATATAATTTTCGAATACTTTTTAATAAGGAATACTACAAATTTGTTTTGTATTCGACTGCTGATGAAAATCATTAATGACCGTTATCATGATCTCATTGCCACAATTTTTTTATATAACTTGGTTACATAAAAGGAACGAGTTCTTATTTTGGAGGAACTGGATCTGGAACAAGTTCTTTCTTATTATAAAGAACTAGAATCTGGAACGAGTTCATATTTTAGAAAATGAACGGGGAACGGAACGAGTTCCATTTAAAAAGGAACTTTCCCAACACTGATTTTAAGTCCTCGTTAATATTTTTATTCTAACATGAATAAAAATCAATGGAATTTTGATTTAACTACCCAGGAGAATTTTGAACAGCTATGAAAATTTATAAAAAAATATTAAAAGTTGACTTTGCTATCAAATTTTTTCTTAAAATATTAGTCTACAATATGGCTAGGGAAACATTAACGGTGAACGAACATAACCAAGTTTCTTAAATAAAATATTGTCTAATCTGATAGTAACAAGTTATTGTTGGCAGTTTTCATAACAAAGAAAATATTTAAATGAAGTCCTACAACAATATCACAATTTTTGATATAATATCATTTTCTATTTAATATCTATCATTATTCGTTTAGTAAAAAACTGCAATTTTTAACATAAAATTATAAATTAACATTTTTGCATTATTCAATTATAAATATTGTTATATTATTATTATAGAGAAGTACTCAGATAACAAACATTTATTAACTTTATAAATGTGATATTAAAATATAAATTGATAAAGAACTTAAAAGATGAAAAAATCTAACTGTTCATTCACTGGTAGTCACCCTATTTTGTTTATGATTTTTAATAGTTTTACAAATATTTAAGTTTTAATTTTTAAAACAAATTATGTTGCAGTAAATATTACTATTATTTTTAAGTATAGCTAAGAGGAGTGCATAACATAGTAGTATTCTTATCTATGTATCATACATAATAATAAAATAAAGCGTTGTCAACACTATATCACTTTTTTCCTTGCCTAGGTCTGTAAATGCTAATATCTCAAAATAATATTACACAAATGGTTATGGACCATCAATATTATATTTAGTTAATTATTCATTTAAGTTTATTACTATACTATAAGGGTACCATTAACTTTTTAAAAATTGCCCATAAAAACAACAGTCATAGAAATAAATTATCTTGGAGTTTATTATTTTCTAAATATTATATCAGATTTTAATAAAAGAAATACACATCTTCACAATACAACAGATTTATACGTAAATTATATCATACAAGTATTTAATACATATTTTTATTTCATACATAAATACTAAACTCATTAACAATATAAAACTTTTAATAAGATTTTAACATTATTTGTATTGTAAAAAAACCCCGTAGAGATGTTATTAATATAAACTCTTTCAGAATATTTTAATTTACACATGTTGAGATAATTTTAAGGGAAACAAAATATTATTTTTCTTATGGCATCTCAGATTAGTTTTACATGTACACATGACATGTCATGAGAATCATTTTTTTTTTTTTTTAATTTTATTAAATAGAAAAAAACAATGATTCTCTATACATAAGACTATAATAATTTAATAGTAATAATAATAACTAGAAATAAAATACATACTATACAATAAGAATAAATTAGATGAAAGCAACTGTTTAGCAACTGAAAAAAAAATTATATGTGTGATCAAGGATATCAATAAATCAAAAAATTTATATTCTACATTACTTCATAATTCATGTACAACTGATATTTTTAAAATATTTTTTTATATTAAAATAGGCGTAAGTATAGATATAAAATTTAATACTTCATACAGATGTAAAATGTACGTTGAGCAAGACAATGATTTATGAAAATGTCTAAATAAATTTAACAATTTACAAAACATTACTTTCAAATTACAGTTATTTCTGAGCATAAAACTGAATAAAACATTTATCAATTTACAAATTAAAGTTTAAGCCTTAAGGTCATTCAATACTTCTTTAAATAATAAGTTAAATGGTTGAATTGTTCTAAAGGCAATAGTAAACAAGTGAAACAAATAATGTATTTTTTCTAAATTTATTAGAAAAAAATTGCAATAATTAAGTGAAGGCTGAAAATTTATCTACAAAAAGCCAATGATAAATTAAATCTATACTATAAAATAAAAAAATATATATTTTTAAAGTTAATACAGAAAGAAATAGAGCAAACAATTAAATATTTTTTCATTTAATTAAAACATACGGACGGACATGGGAACAGTATGTGACTAGTAGATGATTTGATAAAAGAATTAATTAAATTTTTTTCTTCTTTTATTTAAAAATACTCATTTTGTTATCATCCTTATTTCTTAAGAAGTATTTTAAGATAATTGTTTACAGATCTGATTCCCCATATAATGCAGTCGAAAATGACATATAATCTAATGCACCAGGTATAGCATTCACTCCTTTGTATGGTGCCATGCGTTGTATGCAATACTCTGCTTGATCAGGTGGTAATTCTCGTCTCAATTCATCAGCCAGGATATAAGGCTAAACAAATATATGAACATTAGCTAAGATTTCATAATAATATATAATTAGTTTACCTTATCTCCAGCAAGAATACGGAAGGAGTCAATAACTTGTTCAGCAGTATCTGTATCAGTAGATTCTCTAGTCATGAAGTCTAAGAAAGCATCAAAGTGTACATAACCTGTACTATTTGGATCAACAACAGCTAATATTCTTTGGAAGTCAATTTCACCCTGATTAAAAAAAATTCTTTTATAATAAAATATCTTTAGTCATGTTTTAGCTTAAGCTAGCTGCTGCTGATCAGCTGGTAGTAGCACTATTAATCAGCTGCTGATGTCTGCATAATTACATGATCATTTACCATTTGCTAGCTTTCAGGCATTAATTTTTTAGGGTCACTACAATGTAAGCTAGTGTTACTACCTAAAATTGAAGATGTTTAACTTCTTCTAACTCAAAGCTAACTTTAATGTGCATTAATAATAACAGTTCTTAGATTTAAAATTTAACATGAAATACTGTTAGTTATAATTAGTTAAAAATACACAATAATTATTCCTTTGAAACATCAATTACTTATTATAAATACGAGCCAAAAATACAGCTATCTCGTTTTAAACTTATTACTAGTTAAATTATTGAAACAAAAAGGTAGTACTTGTCTATCTTTTCCAATGCTGTAGCCAATTGATACCAAACAAGATTTGAACTCCTCAGGAGATAGTCTACCAGTACGGTTTTTATCAAAGTGGTTGAAACTAGCTCTAAACTCATTCAATTGTTCTTGGGTAATACCTTTAGAGTCTCTGGTCAATATTTGATTTTCAACTTCATTCACATTGCGATTGATAGATGTTAGTAATTGTTCCCAACCAACACGCAGAGTTTCCATAGTGTATTGAGTATATCTATAAAATGATTAATAACATTTTATATTAAAAATAATGGTCTTTTGGTTTTAATTAAATTAATAACCTATTCTCAAAGATCATTCCTTCTTGTACAGATTGATGGATTTTTTCTAAGTCTTCAATATGAGGTTTATAACCAAATACATTATTTTCATATTGCTTGAGTTGATGTAATTGATCTTCTAGAGATCCTTGAAGACCCATTCCAATAGCAGTAACTGCATCCATTTGCCGTTCAATCCAAGGTCCTACTTGATTTGCCTTTTCTGCGAATTGACGACGCAACATTTCATTGTCTAAATTAGAAAAATAATAATGATCAAATTATAAATTCTAACAAAAAATATTAAATAAATTATTAATAATATACTTTGTTGTTTCCTAAGTTCAGCTTGGAGAGTTGTATCTCTCTGGGGAACTAAATGTTTAACATCTGACCACTTTTTGTTTAAATCCTAATATCAGCCAATTTAAGTTAATGAGTTACAAAAATATAAAAGTCATTTATATTTACAGTAGCAGTTAATGTGGTGTAAGGATTTTGTAATCCTCCAGGAATCTGATATTTTTGAACGGTTGATTCAACATCCTTTACTAAACTTATAATGGAATTGTACTCTTTGTCAGCATCTGACAAAGTAGCTTTAAATTGTCCATGAGCATCAATTAACCCTTGAATCTCTTCAACAGTATGAACAATAAACATATCAACTAAATCTTCACGAGTACCATCTAACCAATTATTGAATGGCTAAAAATTATGATAAAATATAAAATCATTTAATTAAGATAGTATATCATTATTTACAGCTGCTCTCTTAGCAAATTCCAAATGAAGAATGTCAATTTTTTCAAGTATTTTTTCAGCATCATCCAAATCAGACCTACGTTTTTGAGTTAAACTACCCAAACGATCCCATTGATCACATATACGTTGACAGCGTATATTTACGCTGGTACTGTCGTGGTATTCAAGAGTGCTAAAAAATATTTATAATTTTATTGTTTCATTCTAAATAAAATTTGATTTCACTTAATTTTATTACTTTAATTCATGTGCAATAGCTGCAATTTGTTCTACGCGATCCTGATGAGCAGCTAAATCACTTTCAAAAGCTTCATGTTTCTTTTTTAAAGCTTTTAAATCATTCAACTTGCATTGCCTGAAGTCAGAACTTTGAAGCATTTCCTCTTTACCATAAGTCCAATCCTCATGAGTATCTGCTTTTGCCTTGAATTTTTGAGCCAAGTGTTCAAGTCGTTCTAATCTCATCATTTCTGATAAAAGCCAATCCTCAAATGACTTTTCTGACTGTTCCAAACCTTTCCAGGCATTAGCAATGTCCTAGTTAGTATTAAAATAACTTTATAAAAGTATTCATTATTTTTAAGTTGTAAAAATGAGTACATACTGAAACCATTTTGCCCTCGGTAGGCATGTAAGCAGGTCTGTTTGATAATCGTAACTTGGTTTGTAAAGTGTTGAAATTAGTTTCTAGTTTGGCTTTTTGTTCAACACGTGGGGGTTTATGTTTGCGCCTATAGGTACGATACTCTTCCAATCTTTTCTGAACACCAGATAAAGAGTTATCAGTCTGTCTGCTTTGTAACCATGGTAATGTACGGCGAATCCATTCCAAAAGCTATGATAAAAAAGATGCAAATATTAAATTATATAAATTTTTACTAAAAAATTACACTTAAAAATCTTACATCACTTGCTAAGCGTTCATATTCTTCCATTAAACGTTCATTTTCTTGGTTAACTTTCAATACTTTACAAATACGGTTGGCAGCAGTCTCAGCCTATGAAAAACAAAGGGATAAGTATTATTTCATTTTAAAAAGTATATCAAATTGTTTAAATGCTGTCAGTTAATAAAAACAAATTGCTCTCACAAGTATTTACCTTCTGAGCTCCAGAGAAACAATGGTAATATGAAGAAACGTAAGTCATTATAGCTCTTTCATCTGGCATTGCAGTATTTGTCATATCTAACATTATTAACAAAAACATGCATAGGTTAGGTTAAATCAATAAGCATTCAAACTTTAACAATCGCTGGTACTCAATAAAAGTTAGTACTTATTTTATATTATTAACAAGTTAATATTACACAAATGAAGTGAAAAACTGCAAAGATGATCTCATAAAGGTAGTCTTAAACTATTAAACGAAAATTAATAGATAAATAATATTAAGGTGTGGAAAGATAACTAAAAATATTAATTCAAAATTATAATAATAACAAATTATTTTTTTTGAAATAATGAAATTACTATAAACTAAATAATGTTATATGGTTAAAATGAACACTTAAAACTTAAAATCACACTGTTGACACACCAGATTTGATCAAGAGATCTATTGATATAGTTTACCTGATGTGCACCTTGGAAGGCGTGGTAATAACATGACACATATGTCATGACCGCGCGTTCATCCGGCTTTGGTGTGTCAATCATGTCTACACACATAAATCAGTTTTATCATTATTTGTTCCTCAAGTGTTTATAACATTAAAATTAAATAACGATGATGAAATAAATATGGGGTTAAAATAGTCATTTTCATATTTGATAAAAAGTGTTTTGAATATATTACCTTCTGGGTCTAACATGCGAGGTATGTCTAAGTATTTTTCAGCAACGTCAAATGCAGTGTTCAAGTTTTGTAGTGGATTGTCTTTAGATAATTTGTTGTAATCAATAAGATCTGGACGATGACGATGAATTAAAGCACAGAATGCCAGACCATCTTTAAAACTAAACATAAAAACATATATTTGATGAATTAATTAATTATTTAAATCTGATAATATAAATCATAAACCTGAGATGGAAGTTTTGTACATTAACATTCTTATATGGAGCAGTCTTGCGCTGGCACCACAATAACAGACCTTCTTTGGCTGTCATTTCTTCAACAGAAATATCTTGTATAGCGAATCTCAGAATGATTGTCCAGATCATTCCCAAAGTCATCTTTAAATTGCCATCAACAATTTCTAAAACCAAAAATAATTATAAAAAAAAAATCTTTTATGGCAGCATATTTCACTAAACCATAGGTTCACATTTAATCTAAACCCTAGAAATGTTAAAATTATATTTACTGTTGATTAAGAGATTAAAAATTTTCAATAATCATTTTTATTGACCATCGCCATAAAAAAAATTGCAAAACTAGCAAAAACTGATGGGGATAATTTATAATTCGTGTGTGCTAATTAGCTTTTAGCACCCTTATAATATAGAGGTACCAACAAGTATTATGTGCAACTATGCACTAGTTATAAAAAAACAATACTCTTATATTCGTATGTAATCTTTTCTACCCCCAAAAAGACAATACTTAATTAAAATAATATTTATTTATCAAAAAAAGCGATAAATTCATATTACATAATATTAATAATTAATTTATCTATTAGTTTATAAATAATTAATAGGTAATGAGAAAAATAAGAATATATTATTAAAAAGTGTTACATAATTTCAGCTAGTATTATAAAAATAAATAAATAAATTGAGAGGAACGAGAGGACAAATGATGACCAACAACGATTTTTGTACTAATAAATAATAATTTTATTCGAGACTGTTTTACTATATCTATAAATGTTTTTTTTGACTGGAGTGTTCGGGTTTCCCAGACAATTTTCGGCAATTAAATCATCTCGCATATCAGGATTGTAAAAAAAATATTACCGACTTATAATTCTAATTTTTTTTTTATTAAATGATCGTGATTTACAAATAATCAGAGAACAAATGTATACTTTAAAAAAAAAAAATAATGTAAATATGAATGAAAATCTAATAATGTTTATGAAATTGTATTATTTCAGGAAACCTTATAAAAAAATTAATTGATTTACAACTTCTTTATTATACAAACATTTTTTAGGTAGTATTTTTAACCTATTTTGTTGATAAGATAACAAAATTGGTAAAACCATGAACTAAGATTTTAAAAGAAGCATCTGCAAATCCAGTAGGTTAAAATTATTTAGTGTTTCTATTTATACCACAAATTACAACTCTGCATCTCATTTTCCACGAGCAAATAGCATTGTTAATTATGTTGATTTTTTTTCATATTAAGAGATGCGTATAAATTTCATTTTTATATATAATGCTTTCGTTAATTATAAATTTGTATTTACTATTTATAAAGACGGATTTTCAACATTTTTCTAAAAGGGATTCTGAAGAATAAGTTAAAGTAAAGAAATTTAATTTGAATACGTATCAGTCTAACTCTTACATATTAAATAATATAAAAGTATCGGTATTTTTGGGGTCAAGACCCTCTGCCCACAACCTGTAAATCAAAAAATGGTTAATCGGGTTTTTAAATATTTTTATCAATTTACTGTATAATTAATTAAAATTTATTCAATTTTGTTAAAAGGGTTTATACACGTTTATTAAATAAATAAATTGTTCATAACTTCTGAAATACTGATCCAAAAGTTGTTATTTTCATAATTAAATCATTATCTAATAAATACGCTAATTATGCATATTACCAATTGAAAAAATCATGTATAAAAAAAAAAAATAATAATCAATGTTATTTTTATATCATCAAAATATCTACTGGTTCATTAAATTCTGATGACCTGTTTATCCTGCATACCGAAAATAATGTCCTCGTCTTTGGACACTATAATTTATTTACCATTTTTGTAATTTAAACAAAATGTTTAGGATATTTAACTTAATTCTCCTCTCTTTAAAAATATTTCTACATAAAGATAAATACATTTTCATAATTTTTTTGGAACTGAAAGCAAAGCCTTCTAGATTCCTCATATTGGGTAATTGTTTAAAACAAAAACCGTGAAAAATAATAACATTTCCTTACATTCTTCCGAAACTTTTTCTATTATAAATAAACGATGACATATAATTATTTATAAATATGTCTATGTGTATATATTGTAAACCATTATCTATAAAGAATTAAGCACCTTCAGCGCCGATGGACACCAATTTTACTCCTTTACTGGCAATGAAGTCCAAAGCTTTATTTACATTGGCAATTTTGTGAAAGCGCATTTTGCCTCTATCTGGTTTTGGTAACGTTTCACCAGATATAACTTCTAATAGTAACATGAGTTTTAATCCATTACGGAAATCTTCTTCGATGTTTTCTATTGCTGTGCCAGCTTTTCTTAAGTGTGAATTGCACCAAGCCGTAAAAGTCTGTAAAAAAAAAATTAGAGGTTTATTTACTTTAGAGTTATTTTTTTATTGTAACAGTCTAAAAAGTCAAATCAATATTGTGAAAAAAAAAAGAAATTATAACATCACAAAGCAAAAGGATAGCTATCATCAATAATGGATAAAAACGCCAATTGGCAATTTTCAGTCAGCATAATAGGTTTACACGAAAAATTACACATTCGACTATTGCTGTATTTTAACATAACAGCGAAATACGAAATAACACTTTATTCAAACGAATAATACTTAAACAAAAATAGCAAGGTCGGCAATTTTAATTCATTCATAACTTTATTTAATAATACTTGAGTGTAATAAAAGTAATTTAATAATTATTATTAACATTTTTATATAAAGTCATTCCATTCTATTAAGTTAATCCCAATACTTTTAGTAAATAATTTCATTAAGATAACGAAGTATAGATAGCAAGTAAAATAAAGTCATAATTTAATTGACCGCAATGTATTAAAGTAAATACCATTATATTAAGTTTACCAAAATACAAAATTAAATTTGAATAAAAACTCATATTTTCATAATGTTTACAAATTTTGAGAATAATGTTAAATTAATATATACGGAGATTTATTTAGCAAATCATAAAAACATTTATAATATATGACAATTTTTACAGATTAATATATTAGTAGTTAGTTAACTTTCCCGGCTAGATTAAATCAAAACAGCGAGGAGAATTTATCATAACACAGTAAAAATATTTAAATATAAATTTCTTTTTGTTTATAATACTAACTAATCATACAAACAAGTTATATTTTTTTTACAAAATTCAAGATTTACTAATAGAATTGCAAAACCTGTTTTCTTTAAAAATTCAAAGAAAGAGCAATTGATTTTACTTTTGTTTTAAAGCGCTTTAATATTTAACCCACATTTAAAAATTCTACAGTTAAAAAATATTCCAATATGAATTAAATATTGATTTATATCTTAAAAGAAAAAAAACTTTACTACTCTATTAAATTTTTTATCATAGACATATGTATTCTTGTTATCTTGCCCACAATCTTAACGTTAGTTATGACAATAAAAACATTATTCTTTATAAAAATAAAAGTACGATACTTGTATTAGTTTATAATGTTTTATTTATCCTCCTGTCTCCTGATACATGAGACTACCAATAATATTTTTATTTCACAAAATTATAATCATTTAAACTACAAAAAAATATATAATCTGTGTTTATTTTAAATAACACGTTTTAAAAAATAAATTATACAAAGTTTTAAAAATTTTTTAAAAAATAATATGAACAACAATATATTTTTAGAGGGTTCCATTATCACTTTCTCGTTCTCAAGTGCTTATAATATTATAATCAAGGGTTATAAATATTTAGTTTTAACGAACAATTATAATTATTTATATTTAATAGATATTGGTTTAGAAATTAGTTAAATTAAGTAAATATATGGATATTTGCAGCTCAAATCGGCAAGCCGAATAATTAGGTCAACAACCTATAAAAAATGTATTCACATATATAATATTAATAACTAAGTTTAAAGCCAAAAATATGCATATGGTAAACTTCAAAGCTATTATAAAATTTGTTAATCTTCATAAAGTTAATTCAAAGGCCAGATATCAATCTGAGCGGTATTACCCATTGAGCAATAAACACCTACTCTCCTCTAAATACTTTTACACAATGATAGGAGAAGAGCGGGTTAGAAATGCTTAGAGTTAAAAATAAATAGACCACTTTTCAACTCCACCTATCATTCTTAAATATTAATAACTCTTAAAAGACGAGTTAAAATGTTGTCATCAATCAGTCATTTTCTTAGTTAGATCATTTTTTATCTGTAAATGTTGGATAACTACTGTAAAGTAAAAATGATATTTTATCTAATACTGTGTTCATTTAAATTCTAATTAAGTTAAATAAAAAAAAAATCTAAAAAAGAAATTACAAAAAGTTACAACAAGAAACAATATTAGACCAAATTAAATCAAAATTTTATTTCAATAATTTATATCAACAATGATGCTAATTTATAATCTATTACTTCGAAATAAAAAATTATCACCAATAAAAAATAGTTGAAAAATAATGTATATTATAAAATCTATTTAGATTGTATTCGCACATTATTATACTATTTAGGAAAATTTAGCCACAACGCTTTCTAGTTAAAGATTTTTTTTTTCTTTACATTAACTAATTACTAGATAATCTTCAAGCCTTACTAAATAAACTTGAATAAATATATTTTTTAAAAATTGTGATAAGTTTAACTAATAATTATAATTTAAAGAACATACAAAAAATGTAGAGAACATTAAAGTCCATACAGAGAGCTGTGGATTATATGCATTTATAAATTTTTTAGATTAATGTAAACTGTTTTAGACAAATTTTTGATTATTGAAACCTAGTAATGTACTTTTCTGATTTTTTGATGGAAAAGGAGTTAAGGGAGTTATTCCTTTTTTAACGAAAAATATTCTTATGCTACTACTAATCCTACAACAAAGTTGCACAAACTTGGAACTCTACTAAGTGGCTTCAACAATATTTATAAATGCATATAATTCACAGTTCTTCTCAAAAGTAATTTAAAATTCAATAACAAACAGTTAAAAATAATTGTAATGCACTGGAACGAATGTAAATTAATTATATCAAATAACCGCGAACACTTATAGAATTTGAAAGTTTTCCTAATCTGTTAACCGTCTATATGTTTTTACTATGTTATAATATGTGTACTTAATTATTTTCTGAATAGTGCAGATTTATTATTCTGTTTTTACAACGCTGCAAGTTACCTTAACGGCTATTTTTAAATGATTTCAGTAACTACACTGTTAATAATAACTAAACACAAATATTTTACTAACGTCTAGGAGTTGGCATTTACTAATTTCAAAACTCTACATCGAACCGATGGTATTAATAATTGATAACCAATTATGATTTTCTGTCTTTATTTTAAATTTTCAGAAAAACATGATAATAAATCACCAAGTAAACCAAATTTCAATTCAATTAAAGTTGTTCACATACATGCATTTCAAGCCAAAAATAACTTTTACAATTTTGCACAACAAATAATTAACACGGACATATCAAATAAATATTATATTAATTAGAACTTTAATTTACTCAATTTCTTAAATTTTTCCTTTTAAATTATTATTGTTATGTTATTATTATAATAAGTTAAATTATAAAGATATTTCATCAGGCAATATTCCATTTTACTGGGTCAACTGGTACAGTTCAACTGGTAAATAAAAATTTCCTATTCCCATCAACATTTTAAAATTAATTTATAACACAATTTTTTGTTGATCTGCCAGACAATAACTAACATACTTATTTATAATTGAAAAAAATAGCAATAGTGTACGAGAAAAATAATTGCTATAATTATTTTGATAATTGCTTGCAGTAGTCGTATACGCTGCCGCTATTCTCATTGCATCGAAACATAATCGAGTATTTCACTGCGCGGTGTCTTCAGCCCGACGCTCATCACACAAAATTCCTCATGGTAACCTTCGTATACAACACACACAGGTACGTTGTGTACATGTATAGATATAGACCAACACGTGGAAGCAAACATTTTTTTCCCGAATAATTTGTTCACGGTCAAATATTGACAATATGTTGTGTGCATTAATTTACAAAATCATACACGAATAATGAAGAAAATAATTTTTTTTAATACGTTTTTATAATAAAGGTACACTTGAACTTATATTAATAGCAAATTACTTGGGTAACATTTTTGTATTCTAAAAACTATTAAATGTTAACTATGATGGGGATATGAAAATAAAATTAAGTTATAAAACTGTTCATTTTTTACATTTTACACTTCTCAGATAGTGAAATAATAAATATGTTTATTCTGTTACTTTAATAAAAGCTTTAAAACTTCTAATTAATAATATTCAATAAAAATTTAATTTCTGTTTTAATTTATTGAATAAAATTACCAAGTTAAAATCCACTAAAAACACCTAAACCGCAACAATGTACTAATAATTCTACTGATAACACATTATTGTTTAATTAAATCGATTTTCAAAGAAGCCAATAAAACCATTAGCATGTTTAATCAACAATTTGTCTCTTATACAAAATGGTTACCACCTGAACTGCTTAAGATAATATCTATGGATATTATACACTACTTTTGATATCGATATTCAAAAGCATCGATGAAATAGAAAAATAAGTGAAGACCACGGGAGACCTCTTCGATGTGTAAAGTATAACCAAATAATAATAATTAAAACATGAAACAATACATCGACCAAAACCTTGAAAAAGCAACGAATTACGTTTTTTTCCGTTTTTTATCCATGGCCGTAAAATCTCAATATTCTTGATGTGTAATGCAAATTACACGCGGATTCTTGTATTTCCTACTATACCGGACCGAAAAACCAAACCGAAGGTAAAAGTACTGTACTAAACACAACACTAGCCTATATACAATGCAATGTGATATAATTGTTAAACAATGAAAGTAAAAAAATTAATTTTAATTCTCAATATAATGTTAATAGACAATAAGTAATGCAAATAAATAGGGTTATCGGTTATGGTCGAATAACTATACATTATTATTTTACAAAAGCTTACGAACCAATACATTAGGCTAAATAGTGAGAACTGTATATGACGAATAATTTATAGCGTCTTGAACTATATAATGTTGTAATTATATGTAAATAGATATTAGCAGCATACCAAGCTTTTAAGTTATTAATACACATTAGGAGAAGGTAATGTCGTGAGTTACCGAACCTTGTCGGTGACAGTTTTCTATAATCACTACAATTTTTTAATTATACTGTTCAACAAAACGAACATATTTAATAGCTAATGGAGAATTCTATCGGTCTTTAATATAGAACAAGTAAATAGAAACAAAAACCAAGAAGATCGTTAACACGAAGTTCAACAGTCAATGTCTACCAGATATATT